CTCCCATCTCTTCTTGGGTAGAGAAAGCCAAATTTAGAGACTCAGGGGCCTTGTGTGTCTGCAGGAACAGAGAGGCTGCCCACCTCCCTCCCTTGTTCTTACGTCCAGACGCTTCCCCACCGTGACCCACACTTAGACCTTGTTCTGGGCCCAGCTGCAAAAAGTAGCTCTCTAGGAGCGAGAACCAGACTGGGGGCAGGCTCTCCAGATCTTCCGCCAGAGTGTTTCTAGTGGGACGAGACCTAAGTTGTCATCACAAAAGAAATACTTCCAAGAGAAAACTTTTAAAGGACTGCATTTAAAATGCTAAATTTAATACTTTTTAATGTCACTTACATCCTCAAAAATAAGATACTTTTATTTTAGGCAAAAATCTAGGTCCCAAACTCCTGAAAGAGATCTCTGGCTTTTAAACGATTAAGAGCAACAGTGAGAGTAACAACCTTATGTGTACTTTAAGCACTACCCTAAACCTTAGGAAGATAACCCCATGGGGGCAGAAGAGAGAATGAGAACATTGGAATCTGCAACTCAGACTCAGATCAGAACAAGAAAGGGGTTTCACAATCACATGGCAAGGGTACAGGGAAAGAACGAATACACTTTTGGTAAGGGATGGGTCCAGATGCTTGGCCACCCACCCGCGTGATGGGTACCTGCCTGGGCCTCCTGCCAGGGGGTGCTAATTACAGCAGAATTCCAAGTTACTGCTCATTCCCAGGGAGGCTCCTAGGCCTGGCCACCGCATCTTTGCCTCGAGAGTGGCCTTCCTGAGATGAGCCTGCAGCCCCAATTCTGATGCCTTATTCTTTCTGTTGACTTCATTGAGAGCCCAGGCCTCTCTGACTGCATATTAATTTCATGTCCAATTTAGCTGCCTATGATATTGTCATTATCTAGACCTGGGTATTTGGAGTGAAGGATTCTATGAACTGTCACCTCACAATGTATCTATCCCTTTTGTATACTGGTCATTTCAACCTTGGAGGAGGTGACAGGCAGCAAAATAAGAAAGGGCTTCCTCCCACCTCCCCTGCGCACGTAGGGTCAGATTTTCCAGAAGAAATTTAGTGGGCATTGACCCTCTCCTAGGAATCTCATTAAATGGGGACCCCTGGCTCCTGTCACAGGACAGGGGACTAGAAGCCTTTGTGACAGAGAGTCTGTCACCTGTCACCTGTCATTGAGTCTCCCAGGCCCAGTCCTTTCTCTCACATCTTTTGCTCATCTCCTTTGTCTGAATCCACGTCTTCTGAGTGACCGGTGCATAATCTTACAAAATCATATATGAGTAAACAGTCCATTCAGAGTACATTAAACCAGTTCATTATTTTTGTGAGTGTCAGTGATGGAATTCAGAGCCTGTGTGACACCATCAAGCCTACATCAGTTACTTCTGACCTGTGGTGAACAAATTCATCAAAGGATTCCGCATTGCAGAACCTGTAAGCAACTGCCACTCATGGAGTTTCAGTGCGACACTGTAGGAGAATCTCCAGAATCACTACAGGGGAGTGTTAAAGCCCTTCGTCCTGCATTGGGGAGGCTGAAAAGAGGAGGGTTGTTCCGAACTAGCGGGTCAGTCAACAAAGGTCACCTGGGAGAGGAGCAGGAAATTGAAGAGGGGACAAAGGACAAGAGAGACGAGAAATGGAGACAAGACAGGATTCTGATCAAGTCTCGTTTATTCAGGGGAGGTGCTGGGTATATACAGTGGAGGCGCAGGGAAATGACCTCGGTGGGTAAAAGGCGTGAGTAACTAGGCAACCGGGCTATGACAGGAAGTCCCACCTCCTGGGCATAGCAGGAGATTTATGGAAAATAGGCGGGGTAAGAAGAATTAGGAGCTTAGCTCAGCAGAGGTAGGGGAAGAGGAAGTCAGCGTCACTAATGACGCTGATGCACCAAGAGAATTTTATAGGTCAGAGGCACTCAGGTGACCATTAAGGGATATGTGGCACAGAGTCATAATGTGTCAGATTCACAGGATTTAGAAAAAGATTCACTTGCAATAGTATTGGAGGCCTGGAGTTATTGTGCCTCCCACAGAGGGTCACTACAAGTTTAAGCTGCATAACAGACCCTGTACCAAATACATAACATTAAAAAAAAAAAAAAAAAAACACTTCATCTTTCTAAAGATACCCAAGTGCAGCTGGATTTTGATGGTGAAGTTTAACTAGAGTAAAAGATTCCTGCAGGGACTGGGGAAATGGCTCAACAGAATAAGTGCTTTTCTGGCAAGTGCAGGGGACTGAGTTCAATCCCTGGTTCTGCAAAAAAAAAAAAAAAAAAAAAAGATTCCTGCAGCTTGAATATAAAAAACAGGAAAAACTTTGTCTTCCATCTAAGTCATACGTTAGAGAATTTGAAAAGTGCAAAATAGTGTCGCTTTTTCCACTGTTCTTGTTGATCATTTTTTTTTTGTGACAATGTGTTACTGAACTTTTAATGGATTAAAATTCAATTTTTCAAATGAAAAAAAAGGGGGGCTTCAATCCACTCTACGAATCACGTGGTTTGTTAGTAGACAATGCTGTGCTAGCCACCGGTGTCTTCGGTACTACGACCCAGTCATCCTCCATACCTGAAGTAAGCTATGCTAAATTAATACCTTTTAAGTTGCTTCATCAACATAACGGCTAGACATGTTTTCAGTATGGCAATTTGTCATAGCTAAATCTTGGAAATAGCCCAAATGCCCATCAACTGAGGAATGGAGAAGAGTATGTGGTATTTTTACACAATGGAGTATTATTCAGCTGTAAAACAGAGTAAGTTTGAGGCTTTTATTATTAAATCAATGCAACTAGAGGCCATACTCTTAAGTGACATAAATCAGACCCACCATGTGCAAACATCCTATTGTCTCCTTAGTGTGAGAACCTGAAAGAAAATAAAATCTGAAGGGTACAAGAGACACTGGAAAAAGAGAATGAACTGATTCAGAAGGAAGGAAATATGGAGTTGAGGAGGATAGGAGAGGTAGTGAGTGATATCTATGTATGTAAGCAGGATGATTTGGACAACAGTACTGTGCATTTCTGCTGGTCTATGGAAAAAAGCAGTTAATGCTTAATTTTTTTCTCCTTTGTTCAATTCTTTGACCTTTTTCTCTTCTTAACTTCATATATAGTTCTTTTTTTCTTTCTTCTTCCAATTTTACATGCATATATCTGGTAATATGAACAACTAATTTGAAGACAACACTATGTATTACAACAAATACTGTGAAATTCATACTAATTTAAGTGAAATTCTGTATCAGTTGTAATTTTTGTTTTAATACTATTTAGTACTCTCTTTAAAAATAAAAATAATTAACTATAAAAAAGATAATGGGTAGATTAACTATTGATACTGAAGGATGGGTACATCAAGTACATTTTATTCTTTGTACCTTTGGATATGTTTGAAAAATTTCCCCCACCAAATATTTTTCTCTACTGTGGGGTAAAATTATAGTCATCTGTCACTGATAGCTGTTCTTGTAACAAGTACCAAAAAATTTACTGCTTGGTACAGTCAAAAAATTAAACAGACTCAAACTTAGAAGTGTAAAGTGAGAAACTCAGATGTCTATCCTTAATTCACACTATTTCCTTACAGTAAATAATTTCCAAATTACATCTACAGGAACCCGAGTAGTAAGAATCAAATAGACCTTGGTGTTGGAAATGCTACTTCCAAATAGCTTCTGATTGGGAAGGCACTGCATATGGAACTGGGAAGCTCACACTCACAGTGGGGACAAAGTCTGTGCCCCACTCCCTTCCCCATGCCGCCATCCAACAGCAGCTCACTTTTATAGGCATCACACTTGAGTCACTGGAGAGGAAGTGGCTACTGAACTGTATAACTCGGTGGCTCAGTGGCTCAGTTCACATATCTACGAAACCATGATAATATAAGTTAAGGTAAGCATTAATGAGACAACACTTAAGAAGTGCCTAGCACGCTAGCTAGCACTCAAGACACATTCAACACAGGCTTTTGTAAAATCATCTTAGTATAATTTAGACAGACCCACTCACCATCCTATTCAGAATGCTTATTCGACACAAAAATTGTCCTAAACACACAAACATAAACTCACTTTATTTTGAAATAGGAAAGTATTGGCAATACTTAGCAAGATTTGGCAATATTTGTTTATTAGTGAAATTATAATCAGAAAAAAAGAGCTCAGTACAAACTGCCTACAGAAGTTAGAAAATTTATTCTGCTTTTCTACATAGTGAATTCCAAAATAAAATGTAAAGTGGTATAAAAAATATTTAAGATGTAGACTCACTCCACTACAGCTTCATCCTTGGTTCTATAAATAATTTCCACAAACCCTTTAGTTTTGTAACAAACAATAGAAGCCCATGAAACATGAACAGTACAATTTTGTGTATAAGGCAAAATTGTGAACTCTAAGATCTACATTTTTTTCACTAGTTTTCTGAAAATGCTGTTCCAAGAGAAAGACTGCAATAGAAATTTGTATTTTATTTAAATATAAAGTTAAAATATCTCATATTTTAACACAGATCTTTAAAACTGCTCATCACTATGCTCATTTTTATAAATACAATACTTTAAAGACGACATGGCAAATCATTACTGAGACCATCACTATGAAAAATACATCTAAGAACATTTATAACTATGCTTCAAAAAATCTTTATGCTTGAGGATTCAAGAAATTATATTTAAGCTAAAGTGCTATTCCCAAACTATATAACTTCATTTTATTTTATTTTATTTTATTTTATTTTATTTTATTTTATTTTATTTTATTTTATTTTTTA